TCCTCGTCCTACCCTCCCGGATGACCATCTTCCTTTTCCAGCAACTCCTGCATGAGCTAGATGTCTTCGTCTGGATCCCAGTGAGAGGTCCTTCCTTCCTTGAACTCAAGCATGAGTTCACCCCGGGCCATGATGATAGCGTCATCAGCAATAGAAATACATCGCTCCCTGAGAGACTCGATCTCTACAGTCTTCTCGGCTAACTCATGCCTCAACCTCTCCAGCTCACGCTCACTGTCCCTCAAAAGCTGCTGACTCTCCTGCTCGGCCTTCCGTGCTATTGCCTCTCTCTGGCGCAAGCTGGTGTTCACCTTGGATACATCTTGTATCCGCTTCTCCTATGCCACCATAGACTTCCTCAGATGAACACTGCTGGTGAACACCTACACAACAAAATAGTATCATTAGAATGAAATTCATGAACAAAAATAACGTAAACTACTGTCATACCTGAAAGGTGTGAGCTACCCCCCAATCAGCAGCAACAATTGCACCCATCTGGTTCAAACGCGCCTCGTCCACCGGGAATAAAAAGGAGTCGGCCAACTTGCTCATGGCAGTCGCGTCAGAATAAGTCGACACAGTAGCCAAAAACTTGAATGTAATAGTCCCGGCATCCTCATCCATGACCATGGTTTAGGCCGATCCAGCTCCCATCGTTGGCTGCTGACTCGGCGGCGTCGCTAACACATCCTCCACTCTCTTGTCCTCCTTGGCCAAGGATTCCCTCATCCTCTTCTGTCGACACCGGGCGATGGACTCGATTGCACTAGGGACGGTCAATTTCTTTATCAGTGTCTCTGCAAGCGTAAACTCTCTAATGGTTAGTGGGTTCAGCCCGGACTCATCAAAAATGATATGATTGTAGTACCGACTCAAAAGCACGTCCCAGGTCTGCTTCAGCAAGGGGAAAGGAATACCTCGTTGGATCGCTTCTATTCCGGCCCAAAGAATGTTGGTCCTCAGATTAGACACTACTAGCACTACTCGCCAATCCCTCTGCTCCAACGAGATAGCTAACACCTCCTCAGTCGCAATGTCCAAGCCGTATCCGCTCTGCCCAGCCCAATTATACTCAAGCTCTGCAAACAAAAAACACAATCAATATTTAGTAATCAAAGTACAAAAGAAACAACAAGTTCTCACCGGTAGCTCACCAGCCACTCGTGATCTCGCCTTGTCCCCTCTCTCCAAAGACAGCCTGACCCCTTATGAAAAAGTATTGGTCCTTCTAGTTTTTGTTGCTGGACCGCAGGTCGGTCACCAGGTGAGACCGATCATGCCTCAGGTTCATCAGATAACGACCCTTCTCCTTGTCATTCTCCTTTAGGAAGTACGAGTACAATAGCTTGTGTAGCCCGAACCTCACCTGGTTCCGAACACATAGGTCCTCTAGAGCCATCAGCAATCTCCAACCATTTGGCATGAACTAAGACGGAGCAATCATGAAGTGGTTCAACACCTCCCAGATGAGGCGAGGGATAGTAACCTCAATCCATCATGAAACAATTTCTCATAAACACTAACTCAGCCTTGTGCCTCCCAATCGACTTGCTCATACGACTACGGCGCTTGGATATCAACTGAAATCGGAATGTGATACAAAGTCCGGATGCGCCACACATCATTGTCCTTCAGCACAGGCAGATAATCCTTGGTCAAAATCCCGCTACCATGTTGGCTCAGCTCTTCCTAAGAGCCACTATTGGACGAGGATGGACTATCGACCCCGTCGGAGTCTTCCCCACTTCTCTCATGCCTGCCCGAACCACTCGGGCTAGCGACACTCGTCCTTGGGGTAGCTACACTAACTCCAGTCGGTACGCCCATCGGAACGCCCCCCTCGAGCATCATCACTATGGGAGGGGCACGCTCATATTCATCCCCAGCGTCTACTGCAGTCCCGCTAGAGTCACCTGACTCAGAGTCTGACATGATTGGCCCGATCGTCTAGCCCGACCGACCGACTGACTCGATCCTTGCTTCCAAACTCCCAAAAAACCTAAGTGTCAACAGCCACTCGCCCTTAATAACCGACCGAGCAGAACAATGCACCCAGTTCCTGCTTCTCCCTCAACACCGGTCGACCTATCAACGCCAACAAACTGTCAACTCTCACAAGCCTAAGCTCCGATCGACCCTCTCTACTGACTGGCCTATTCCAGAATCAACAGTACGTCTTCGCTCGCCCCAAACGACCGACCTACCTTCAAGCTCACCAGTGAGTCTACTCGCTCGTACCCACCGACTCACCAGTCTAAGCATTCACTCACCGATCCACCCATTCGGTCTGGACGACCAATCCCTTACTCGAGTCCACCCTTCTCACGATCCACTCACACTCGGTCGGACGGACTGAACGACCTATCTATACCACTTACCTGCCACTTACAACCCAGATCCACCTTAGTCGTTTGATTCGGCCAGACATACCAACCGAGCCGAATCAAGGTGCTACGTAACACGACTTCGTCTCCCTTTTTTCCGTCCAAAATTCCAGAAAATACCAAAAAACCAACCAACTCGCCAGAAACACCAAAATTCACGCCTATTCTAAAAACCTATATATTCTAAACTCCTTAAAACCAGTCGAAACTACTCAAGAAGTTCAAAAACTTTAATTTCCAAAAAGCCAGCAAAACAAGAAAACAAACCAAAATTAGTCCAAAGAAAAGGATATTTACCATAAAAACAACAGACTGCAGAGAGAGCCGCCGCTGCTCAAAGAAACCGAAACGAAAAGAAGAAAGGAAGAAGAGAAAATTTTCAAAATGCAGATAAAGGGAAAATGGAAAATGGAAGACGAAGAGTCTGCAATCTCGTTTTTATAAGGGAAATCTGACACAAGCCGACACGTGGTAGCCTAGGAGTGGCCAAGGATCAGAACGACTCCCCATTTTCCCGCCTCCAGAACGAAGATTGATCAACACCGTACGCGTGGCAGGGACCTAAGCAACCTAGGAAACTGCAGCGTTGTACGGAAGCCACGTTCCATCGCCCTGCCTTCTCTACTGAGCCAGCACACGACTGCCAGATTGGACCCAACATGCCCCCACAATTCACAAGCCCAAGAGGTCCTCCTGACTAGTCGACCGACCTGGAACAATCCCGACCGAACTCTTCAGATAAAAGGGTGGGAGGCCTCGCCCATTCATCCTTCCATAGCGGATGAATGGGTGACCAATGGTCGAAGTTCGAATATTTCTTCCACTCGATCTCCCGAACACCCCGACCAAGCGAACATTCAGTTTAAAGTAGCCCCTGACTCAGACGAACCGGCATGCCGAGCGGACACCCCAGCTATAGAATTGCAGCTCACCTCTTTAGTCGACCGGACGTCCCGAACAAACGCGTGAGCCCCCGAAGCCTGGTTGTCTCATTCCCTTTGGCCCTTCACACTGATCGAGCACACCAGTTTGCCATAATGGCATACTTCGGATCAGTAATGGATGCCAAACGACATCCGGCCAAAAGTCACCTGCAACAAACTGATCATCCACGTCGGCAATCGATCGTCCAGGAAGGAAGACCGAGCGCGCTTCAATCACTTCCTACTCTCTTAACTTAAAAATTTTTAACTCAGAGAGTGGGGGCCAAACTGTTAGGGCCAAAAATCGCCCTTAGCCCAAATAGGAAAACGGGTCTGATTGTGTGGAAGCGACCAGGCCCAATCTCAATGCAGGCCCATTTGGTACAAGATACAACCGGCCCAAACCATCCGACCACAAGCCTCCTAATCCCGGTTCACTTCTTGGGTCCATGAGCGAATCCAGAAGCCCACGGCCCCTACAGATCACTTTCCTATTTCTGATCAATCTCCTATTCGAGATCACTTTCCTGTTCAGATCACTTTCCTATTTGAAGTTACTTTCCTGATTGGGATCACCTTCCTATCTGGACACTAGTAAGACAGCTCACCATCGCCCTAACTCCTCTAGGGTTATATCAGAATAGCACTAGGACTCCTACTTCTACCAGGATTGGGAGACCAGACAGTCACTATATAAACAGAGGCCAGCCCTCTCACAAGGGACATTACATTACACCTTCACACCCGAAGCTCCTACTTGAGAGCTTCACATCACTGTCGTAGTCACAGTCCCCGACTAGACTTCCGGTAACGTCTCTACTCCCTAGCCTTCACTATATTAGCCTCTTTCAGCCTTGCTGACTTGAGCGTCGGAGTGCCCACGACAAACACTACCCCGGTGTTTTCTATTTGCTTCACGCTTGTTTCTCTACGTGTGCAGGTGCAGTGGATCGTTAGTGGCCTCAACCTCACGAGATCAAACCCCGCCTTCCGTACAAGTAGATTTTTACGTCTACAGAAGGCACACGGCATTTTTGGTCTGCGTAACTTCACGTGGTTGCCTTGTATTTTGTAGGCGATACAAGTTAAGATGGTAACGTGAGTTATGATATAAACTGTGTAATACTATATAAGTAATTTCATTTTATCTATGTACAAAATAGAAAGTTAATGACTCTTTTTATAATGTTAAAGCTTTCATATTTTTGTTAAATATATCAAGAAGATGGTTGGAGGGTAAATAAATAACATATATATTTAAGATATTAATTTAATTATGTTACAAATTTCATATTAATTAAGTATAGGCATATCCATCAAAATTGTAGCAAAATCTTTAATTAAGTTGTAAAAGATTATTATTTTCTGAAAATGAATATTGTTAATTCAATTACATAAATATATAATATTTTCAAAAGAGTAATAATATACATACACATATTAATAAGCTCTTTGAATAAACTATTGTATAATATCTTATATACATTGTTATATTATTGTCATATCATTAATCCTTATTAAACAGTTTAATTTTATGCTCGTCAATTCCGTTTATCGGGTTTTACATTTATTAGTATTCAAGAGTTTATATTAAGTATATGCAAGAGTTTATAAATAAACTCTTGTATACTAATAATAAATAATAATAATAAATTCATTATTTATTCACATACAAAAACAGTCATACTCATGAACATGGAATCGAGCAATAGCTCAAATAAAATATACATAAATAATGTGTTTATCTATAAAATAATAATGTGTATGCTAAAAAACAAAAGAATAATAAAAACCAAAAACAATGAAAAATCCATAAACAATATCCCCTCTAGTCATAATCAGAAATCAACCTCGCATTTCGTAGCTGTAAAATTAGAAGTCGAGTCCCCAGAATTCAAAGGAACCTTCAACTCACACTTGATAACCGGCTTCAACTTTGGCGTCTTGATCTTCCCCAACTTGAATCTAATCTTCAAGTAAAGTTTCACATCAACGCTGTAAATTCCAGAAGTCTTTTCCTGGTTAAAATCCTGAAGATCTTCACCCAGCAAAATCTGTTGACCATCAAAAGTTGAACTCAAAACACTGGTGGTCTTGTGGCCCTGATAAAATGGAGTCAACATCTGCGAAGCCAATCTCTGATTCTCGTAATAAGCCCTGGCTTCGATACGGTCGTAGTAAATACCGATCTTTTTATTGGGGTTGCGAATGGTGATGTTGACTGCAAGTTTGTATTGTAGATTGTTGTTGGAGGTGAGGTTGAACTCGGTTAATTGGGCGTCGGTGACGTGGAACTTGATGGGATTAATGGGACGGAAGATGAGCCAAACGATCAAGGCAGCGAGGCCGACGATGACGACGATGGAGAGGATGATTTTGAGCAAGAAGGTGAAAAGGCAGCAGCAGCCGCCGCAGCCTGAGCCACGGCCGGGGCGGTGGTAGTGTTTGGTGGGTGGTGGGACGGCTGGGCCGTAATAGGCGCCGTTCAATTGGGGCTGTTTCTCAGACATGATTGAAGCAAAGAAAGGAGAATAATTGAGTTGTTTTCGTGAAGAAGAAGAAGAAGTGTAAATGAGAGAATGTGTTTGAAGAATGGGAGGTTTAAGGGTTTATATAAGTAATTAGTAGGAAGCGGGAAAAGTAATAGAAGGTAAGAACAAGACGGCTTGACTCGTACCAAATCACCGCGTGTGCGTTGTATACTTTTCAAATGGGAAGAAGAAGGAACACGGCAGGTGTCAGCGTCAGTTAACGCGGTTGCGTTGTGGGCGATTTGAAGAATAGACGATGTTACCTCGTAACTTCCGATTTTATAAGTTTCCTGATGGTAACTCTTTGTTGAACAAGTCTTTACATATTAAACATATAATTTTGTAAAATAATATTAATTTTCTTACAATTAATGTGATATTAGTATTGTATATCAATAATCGAGATCCTGACTTTGTATACTCTTTTATCCAATATTTTAATTACATAATTTTTAGGTTATTTGACCCAAGACTTTTGGATTATTAATTGATGAAGAAACGGGATAATAATCGGAATTATTGAGAGTTTATCTTTATCAGAATAGAAAAGAAAAATCAACAAACTTGCGTGTTAGTTAGAGAGAAATAGTCAGAAAAGTAAAACGATAAGATCCATTTTCTCAGGAATTAATATATAAGATATAATCAAAGTCTTAATTTAGCTCATTAATATACTGCAAATTACTACACTTCTAAATAATTTAATATTCGGAGTTAAATCCATTTTGGTCCCCGAATTTCTTTTGTAAAAATCTTAATTTTAATATCATTTACATAAGAAAAGTTAAAGGGTATTTTGGACTTTTAAGAAAAAAATCTGGTGCGTTTGTTTCAGTATTTTTGCACTATCATATCCCTATTCTACCCAAAATATACATTTATTTTCTATTTTGAAAATCTTATTTCTTTTATTCCCCATAAGTTTGTTAATTTAACTAAACACCCCCCCAAAAAAAGTTTAGAAATTGACAAAAGCATCCCCACCCACCCACCCACATTTGTCAGATTCCGACCACCACCACTGGAAGGTGGTCGAAATCTGGTATAATGGTGCACTACCAGCTGGATCTGGTTGGTAGTATGCCAATCTGGCCTTTTCCGATCAGATCCACCGTGGATCTGGTCGGAAAAGGTCAGATCTTTGGTCGTAGCTAGTCGTCAACGATGGCCATATCTTTGGCCATCGTTGACGACCAATCACGGTTAGATCTAGCTTTCACGTGGATCTGGTCAAAAAAGGTCAGATCTATGGCCAAAGATCTGGCCGTTGATGGCTAGATCTTTGGCCATAGCTAGTCGTCAACGATGGCCACATCTTTGGCCGTCGTTGCCGACCATACGCGGCCAGGTCTAGCCATCAATGGCCAAATCTAGCTGTAAATCTGGTCTTTTCGGCTAGATCCATATGGATCTGGATAAAAAAGACCATATCGAAGCACGACTAGCCAGATCCAGCTAGTCGTGCGCTGATACGACGACTCCAATCACCCTTCAGCAATGGTGGCCGACTACCGGTATTTAATGGGTGGGTGTGGTATTTTTGTTAATTTTCAATGTTTTATTACAGAAGTGTTTAGTAAATTAACAAACCTAGAAGGTGTTTTTGTTAATTTTGAAATCCTACCTCGTAATAACCACCATTTTTCAAAAATCCTATCCAAAATAATAAAACAAGCACACCTAAAAAAAACTTCTACTTTACATTTTACAAGGACTTAAATGTTATTATCTGAATTTATTGAACCTTGTGTTTGATAGGCCATACCTCAAGGACCAAAATAGATTTAACTCTTGATATTAGTCCACCAATTGTCCACTAAATATGATAACTACAAACAGTAATGACGTGGGAAGCATATATAATTTATTAAGAACTCCCTTTTGGTTATTGAAAATGGCTGGTAACATACGAAGCCAATGACTTTTGTGTATGAATAAAGGAGAACAAACTAGAAAAGGATCACTTCATCCACACATGGTTTTCAGACTTTTTGCTGTCTCTAAACTGAAGTCACACGGCATTTCTCTAATACGTATGGCGATGTTAAATTAACTTTTATTATTTAAAAATCCCTACCACTTTTATTGTAAGTTTCAGTTCAAAATTAGAGTCTCCATCACTCCCTACAATATTAAACTTTATTAACGTCTATCATTTCGCTTATGCAATAATTTACTTTTGCAATGAGAGTTTAAGCTTGGATTTTTAACAAATCGAAATATCATATTTATATATATAATAAAATTCTTTCATGTAGACAATAAATACTAAAGAAATTTCCATATAAAAAATTTTGACTAATTTTTTTTTTTTTTTTTTAATGTTAATCCACAAAAATTAATGTATTAAGGATAAACCAAATACATATCTTAATAACTAATTGTATTATGAGATGTGAACCCTAAGGTGTTGGTCTAGCGGTGAAGGAGATTTGCTCCCTTTATTGAGTGTTTGGATTCGAATATCGAGGTCATCTACCACATTGTGATTTATCTGGTCCTTTGGAGTTACAGAGTATTCAACAAATCCCAGAGATTAGTTGATGTACACAAATACTAGCCCAAACATCCCAATTATCACAAAAAAAAAAAAAAAAAGAAAAAAAAAATTTGTATTATGGATGTGAACCTAAAGATCCAAAACAAAGACTAGAGAGTTAAAGCTCACCTATATCCCACCTGTTCCGTATAATGGAAGGAAACTTCTACATGCTTACGACTTTTTTTTTTATATTAAATAGATTGTATTGAAACCACGAATACATTAAGGAAGGAGAAGGATTGAAATATCTTATTTTGTTGTTGCATTTAGTGGTCAATGTCATTGACACAATTTTCCATTTGATTATGCAATAGAGATGACAAAATGGAATCTATTAGTGTATGGAAAGTAAACTGATTTAACATATAACGAAATTGATTACGTTGATGGTGAAGAATTGTATGAGGAAACACTTATACAAATAATATTAAATCTGTCGGGCTACCCGACCGTCACCTCACCAGTTAACAATTACCCAGAAAGAAAAGAGGAAAGATTTATATAATATTTATATCAATCTTAAAATTTGTATTTGTCCAAGAGAAGGCTGGATAAAATTATACACAGAAAAAAAATCATGTAATTTTTTTTTTTTTTTTTTTTTTGGTTATCGGGGGTATCTGGGCCAACTTATGTACATCTCGATTAGTCTTTCGACTCCAAACAAAGCTTCTGAAGCAAGACAAGCTCTACAGTCTGTGACCAATAATATTAACAACTATTCTTGTGATTCGAACCTAAGACCACAGGTGAAGTAAACCCCTTAACCCTAAACCTTTACCACTCGGCCAACCTATTGTTGGTTCAAAATTATGTAAATTTCATTATACTATATTCTTCCGGTTCACATATTAGTGATAAATTTTGTAAATAATAATATATATACAAACTCATATAGACTATCATGTTTTAATGTAATTGAACGATTTTGAGTTAGAGATAAATTAAACAATTAAAGTAGATGATATTTTGAGCGTTACTCTAAATTTATTATTGTATAAAAATGTACATCACATAACATTGAACAATTTTTTTGTCATATATACATACGCAGCAGTCGACAGAAGTAAAAAATAATAATAAAAATAGCAACTGCTTCATCATAAGAGAGCAGGAAAAAATCTCAAAGAATAGGCAAAGTCATAAATATAGAGTTTATAACTAATTTTTTCTTTGTTTTCAATAATGGTGAGTTCTTTAAATTATTGAATATTAATTTTAAGATTACATGATAGTGTTGAGGTATGATNCATCTCGATTAGTCTTTCGACTCCAAACAAAGCTTCTGAAGCAAGACAAGCTCTACAGTCTGTGACCAATAATATTAACAACTATTCTTGTGATTCGAACCTAAGACCACAGGTGAAGTAAACCCCTTAACCCTAAACCTTTACCACTCGGCCAACCTATTGTTGGTTCAAAATTATGTAAATTTCATTATACTATATTCTTCATGTTCACATATTAGTGATAAATTTTGTAAATAATAATATATATACAAACTCATATAGACTATCATGTTTTAATGTAATTGAACGATTTTGAGTTAGAGATAAATTAAACAATTAAAGTAGATGATATTTTGAGCGTTACTCTAAATTTATTATTGTATAAAAATGTACATCACATAACATTGAACAATTTTTTTGTCATATATACATACGCAGCAGTCGACAGAAGTAAAAAATAATAATAAAAATAGCAACTGCTTCATCACAAGAGAGCAGGAAAAAATCTCAAAGAATAGGCAAAGTCATAAATATAGAGTTTATAACTAATTTTTTCTTTGTTTTCAATAATGGTGAGTTCTTTAAATTATTGAATATTAATTTTAAGATTACATGATAGTGTTGAGGTATGATTATTGTTTTGAGAAGAAAATTTTGATTAAAAAGGACTTAAATATATGGTTATCCGAGAGTTTTTATGTTCTTATAGGCCTATCTTTTTCATTTGGGTCGTTGCCCATTATGTAAAATCTGTAACCTGAAAAAGCCCAACCTCTCGGCTTCTTTGTACTTCCCTCAGCCCAACTCTCACATCACATTTGAAAGAGACCAAAAACTTTTGGCCCATTATGTTACTGTATTTAAAATCAACCTAATTAAATAAATATTAAAAAATTTCATCTTGAAGAGAAAAAACAAGGGGCAAAAGCACATGGGTGTATTGATGTGGTCATAAATGGCTGGCGAAGAAGGTTGTTAAAATTCGGTCATAGCAGCCACTCTACCATCACATGGACTATTCTATTACTATACACAATTTTATGAATAATAAATAAAAAAATCCTTTACCCTTTGCACCTAACAATTATGGGTTTAATTTAATTTAAGATACATTAATTTTTAAGCAATTGATTGGGTGGACTAAAAGATTGATTAAACAAAAGTGAAGATAAGGGTCATTCAAAAGTGTTATATAAATAATGAAAGTCTCTTTCTATCATGCCATGATTAGTAGGTAGAATTGGTGAAGGATGAAAAGGACCGCCACTTACACCATGTGAGAGATCAACCCACTTCCATACCCAAACACCGCCCTCCCAATAATTTAACCTTTTATTTCTTCGTACAACATTACGTCGGATAAACTACGTCAAACAATATTGATAAACCATATATTAATATCGCTAGGTAATATTGACGAATGATTTACTAATATCGATAAATACTTAGAAATAATAGTTTCATATATATATATATATATATATATGGACATTTCCATATGACATATAAAGTCTTACATGTATTTGAAAAATAACTTTAACTCAAAGTTGAATTGCGATTTTTATAAAAAGTGAGTATTCCCATTTGAGGAAATTTATGCACATATAATTTCTGGAATTAGATAAGGCAGGGATTAGTTTTTTCTATCCCTGAAAGGAACCGAACACCCACATGGCCTCATCTTCTTGAAGTGGGCAGCCCAATTGAAGCACCATTTTTCATGCCATTGTCTTTATTGTTGTTTTGTTTTTTACCAATTTTATCATTTGGATTTCATTCACTTCGGCCTTTAATAGCCGCCCACCCATACATCCACCCTTTATACAATATGAAGACACTGTATTTACGTATCATTTATTAATTATTAGCAACATACGAACGAGCTACCGACACTAATGTAGTCCTATAAGTATCAATCATTAGTATTCAAACAATTAAATCAAAATTATGGACCCATTTTAAATATATTTAATTAGAAATTAATTATAATCTCATTAAAAAAAATCATGGGTATCAATCATTATACTATGAAACAATTAAAATTTATAGTGAGCTATATATTTTAAAATTAAGAAAAAAAAACCCATTTTATTATATTAATTTTTTGCTCATTTGTTGGATCCAAGAGCTAGAATTAAGAAAAAATTAATAAAAAGAAGAGAAGTAATGACAAGCAAAGACACAATTGAAAAAGGCCATTTAAAAAAAGAAAAAACACAAAGAAGATGACATGACAACCTCCCAATCAAACAGTCGACACTCAATTCTTATCTATTGGAAAATAATAATTAATATTATTGATAATAATTTCATATTTGATTTTTCTTTTCTAAATTACAAATTTCACAAATTGTAATTTTGCTATCTGTCTCTTTTCATTTTTCTCCATTTATTGATCTATAGCAAAATGTACAATTCAACTCTTTATAAAAATAAGAAAAATAAATATTAAAAAAAAAAAACTAACGGCTTCCATAGCTAAAGAGCAAAGAGATAACGATACTTTAACGGCGTTAACCTTCTTCTTCTTCATCTTCTTCTTCAAGCTCTTCACTGATCACTCTTCTTCACACATTCACACTGCAGCTCTGCACCAGCTGATACTTAACGGCGTTATTCCCGAGGGGGATCCCGGTTTGCTTCGACCCGAAATTGATGTATGCCGAGCACTTCACGTACAAATGATACTTCCCAGATATAAAGGTCCCAACTTTCCATCTCACCCGTCCATCAATCTTGAACAACAAAGGAATAACCCCATTAGCTTGATCTTGGCTCAACGAAACAGCATTATACGGAGCCACCGGCACGTCGGTGCCGTAAACAAACGGCGACCAAACGTCAATCTCGTTGTGGCCTTGATAAGTGGGAGGAATCGCCGTCCTGTAGGTGATTTGCTGGTTCCGATAACTGGCGTAAACGTCGACCTTGTCGTAATAAACGCCGACTTTGTCGTTGGGATTGCGCGAAGAGATGGTGACTTGGAAGTTGGAGGTGAGGAAGTTGGGAGAAGAGACGTTGAAGGCGTAAACGGTGGCGTCTTGGAGGACGAACTTGGGTTTGGTGGGGCGGAGAATGGCCCAGACGAGGAGGATGGTGATGAGGGCGATGAGGATGAAGATGAGGATGCCGGCAAAGATTCGGCGGAAGAGTCTACGGCGTCCGTCGCCGTGGTGGCCGCAGTCTCCTTTAGCAGACATGGCGGGTGAGGTGAAAATGAAAGTAGTGCTGGGGGGAGAGTGAAAGAAAATGAAAGTAGTGACGATTGGTGTAGGTGTTGTGAGAATGGAGAGAATGGAGAGACGTGTGGTTTAATGGAGAAGGAGAGGAGGGACCTTCTTGCTTTGGAGTTGACCGTGACTTGGGGTGAACGTGTTGTGTGTTGAGTGAATTTATATATAAATTTTAAGTTTTTTTATTGGCTTAGTTTAACTCTTAATAGTAGTAGGTAATGTCAGCAATTTGTGTTTAATGGAAGATTAATTCTAAAACAAAGTGACGTTCTCAACTAACTAAACAAGTAGTTTTTATACGAGAATTCTCAGGTATAGACTGTCCACAAACTGTAATAACAATAAAATTTCATAATTTTCAATGCCAAAAATTCTAAAAAATTATTTATTTTTCATAATTACCCATCGTCTATCGACAAACGAACATCATATTTTTTATTATTAATTAATTATCGTCTACTGACCAACAAATATCATCTTTTAAAAATATACAAACGTTTACTGTAAGATTGATTGAGTATAAATATTAAATTTATGTTTCAAATCTTTATATATAATTAGTTCGTAAATAAATTTGTAATTTTTATCAAATATATAATGGAATTCTTCTTTTATTTTCAATTTTTTTTTTTTTTTTTTTTGGTTATGTGTGTGTTATGATAAGTATTTTGATTGAAGACTTCGTAAATATATAGGAAGAAACAAATATAAATTCTGACAAGCTCTTAATACGAATAAATTATGTTTGTGTTTTAATTAATTAAAGCTTATAGATTGCAATAAATCTAGCTCCTGAATAATTTACAAACAAGATCCAATTAATATGGTCGAGCTAATTTTTGCCCTAAATAATCCAAAAAGTAATAACATAACATAAATTAGTGCTAAAGAAATGTGTCTCATTAAATAAGAACTTTATTATAAAATTATTGACCCATTGATACAAAGTTATTATTGATTTCTCTTAATAGTCAAGAAAGTGGAGCGCGTCTTTTTGTTAATCAAAAAACTTACAAAAACTTAAAAGTTAAAAGGGCTTAAAAAGATTAATTACTTTTTAGATCGAAGTATGGTGAAGTGCAATCAGGACCGTTAGGTTAATTAGTGGACGGATGAGGAAAAAGCCCAAGGGACACGTTACCGATGATGCTCGAATGGACCCACTTTACCATGAAGACAGAAAAGCCCCCAGCTCATCAACTACCGACTTTTGTTTTTGAGAGTTCTAGAATATACTCTTAACTCAATTGAAGCCTAACGTGTCGCAGAAGGAGTTTATTAAAATAATATTTTTGAATTATTTTTGGAGAGAATATGAATTTATAAAAATATTATTTGATGAACTGATTCATGTATCGCTTTCTATTTATCAATTAAGGCCAAAAAGCTCATAAGCTTTTTTCTCAAAAGAAGGATTATAATTTTCGTTGGAGTAATTTTTATTTTATTTTATTAATTAATACCTTTCTTATGGAAATAAAACAATTACATTTTAGGAAATATAAGTCGATATTTTTTTAATAATTTTTTTAGGGTTTTTTTATTTATAATAATTAACCCTATTAAGTTCTTCTTTTAGGGAATTTTTGTATTTTTGGTAATAATTAAACCTAGTAAAATGGATATTTCTCGAATATATTTTTGTTTTCACTTTTCTCTAATGTTTGATGACAAGAGCATGACACGATATTCCAATAATTAAATATCTATAATAAGATGAGAGATACCCGTTAACTAACATTAATTAAAACTTGACTAGTAACTTCCACTCAACATTAAACACTAATTAATTACTCAATAATTAACTTGCAAATTAGATTTATGGACCATCGCCCACAACCAATTAGTTTATCCAAGGTATAATTAACCATAATGAAAATTAAGAATTGGGTTAATTAATTAATTAATTAAATTAAATTAAATTCCATTTGTCTTTCTCAATGCAAATTATTACTTTGATTTGTTGACATTTCACCTACTTGTAATATGCAATGCATATGTGCACAAGTTTCTTTCTCTTAATTTAATTAATTACATCCACCGTCCAATTCAAACCAATGCAATGGGTCAATAATGGTTGCTACAAAAGTTGTACATTTTCTTGGCCGTTTCATATTTAATTTGATTATTACTTTGTCCATTTCTACTCGCTTGAGTTCATACATGGTGGAAAATTAAAATCAATCTCAAGACTTATCACGAAGATGGGTGTTGGTAAATATTTACTCATTTTGGTATCAAATTAAAAAAAAAAAAAAAAAAAATCTCTTTTGATTTGAACTTTTAAAAACATTGTCATATGTATACATTTTAATTTATTTATAACTAAAATTTATCTGTTCATTATAATCATATTTTAATAAAACTTCGCATCAATAAAGGATTTATATTATACGATTATTTTCGTGTTTAGTCATCCTCATTTTTGAAGCCATTTAATATATATATATATATATATATGTTTAATACTTTTTTTATAATTTTGTAGGTATGAAGCTTGATATATGTGCATGGCTCACATTCTTTTTAAATATCAATGAAATATAATGAATTAATGTATTTTTTTTCATATTTTTCTTAGTTAATAATACTAAAATGTACTATAATTATAAATTATGACAGGGAGGATAAAATATCAAACAGAAGAAAAAATCTTGAAGGGCAAAATCTTATTTATGAATATAAGTAGGGAAATCTAATTATAAAATTTTAATTAATTAATGTACTAATCGCAGTCCATAAACAAGATTTGTGAAATTAAATCTATTGTCAACGGAAGCAACATGATTTTTTTAATTAATTAAAGATGGATAAATTGAAAGAAGCACACAAAATTATAGAATTGTCGGAGACCCCCTTTAATTATGTATTATTAATTGGCCATTAATTAACCGTAAATTTTAAATAATGAAAATTCATTGACTAACGAAATAGAATATTTTCTTAAAAATAATCAATTGATTTATCAGAAGTTACAACTGTGTTCTTAGTTTAATAAAATATGTGTCACATAAAGATGCTTGGTACATGTGACCGAATTGAAAGAAGAAAATTGAGAGGACCTTGACAGGTGAGAGATCAAACCACTTCCATACCCAAAAACCGCCCTCCCAATAATTTAACCTTTTATTCGTACAAACATTACTCGGATAAACTACGTCAAACAATATTGATAAACCATATATTAATATCGCTAGGTAATATTGACGAATGATTTACTAATATGATAAATACTAGAAATATAGTTTCATATATATATATTATATATATAGGACATTCATATGACCTATAAGTCTACATGTATTTGAAAAATAACTTTAACTCAAAGTTGAATTGCGATTTTTTAAAAGTGAGTATTCCCATTTGAGGAATTTATGCACATATAATTTCTGGAATTAGTAAGGCAGGGCTTAGTTTTTTCTATCCCTGAAAGGAACCGAACACCCACATGGCCTCATCTTTGAAGTGGGCAGCCCAATTGAAGCACCATTTTCATGCCATTGTCTTTATTGTTGTTTTGTTTTTTACCATTTTATCTTTGGATTTCATTCATGGCCTTATAGCCGCCCCACCATACATCACCCTTTATACATATTGAAGACACGTATTACGTATCATTTATTAATTATTAGCAACATACGAACGAGCGACAGCAATAAGTAGTCCTATAAGTATCAATCATTAGTATTCAAACAATTAAATCAATTATGGACCCATTTAATATATTTAATTAGAAATAATTATAATTCATTAAAAAAATCATGGTATCAATCATTACTATGAAACAATTAAAATTTATAGTGAGCTATATATTTTAAAATTAAGAAGAAAAAAACCATTATTATATTAATTTTTTGCTCATTTGTTGGATCCAAGAGCTAGATAGAAAAAATAATAAAAAGAGAGAAGTAATGACAACAAAGACACAATTGAAAAAGGCCATTTAAAAAAAGAAAAACACAAAGAAGATAATGACAACCTCCCAATCAAACAGTCGACACTCAATTCTTATCTATTGGAAAATAATAATTAAATATTAATAATAATTTCATATTGATTTTTCTTTCTAAATTACAAATTTCACAAATGTAATTTTGCTATCTGTCTCTTTCATTTTTCTCCATATTGATCTATAGCAAAATGTACAATTCAACTCTTTTAAAATAAGAAAAATAAAATAAAAAAAAAAACTAACGGCTTCCATAGCTAAGAGCAAGAGATAACGATACTTAACGGCGTTAACCTTTCTTCTATCTTCTTCTCAGCTCACTGATCACTCTCTTCACCATCACACTGCAGCTCTGCACCAGTGATACTTAACGGCGTTATTCCCGAGGGGGATCCCGGTTTGCTTCGACCCGAAATTGATGTATGCCGAGCCCTTCACGTACAAAATGATACTTCCCAGATTAAAGGTCCCAACTTTCCATCTCACCGTCCATCAATCTTGAACAACAAAGGAATAACCCCATTAGTTGATCTTGCTCAACGAAACAGCATTATACGGGCCACGGCACGTCGGTGCCGTAAACCAACGGCGACCAAACGTCAATCTCGTGTGGGCCTGATAAGTGGGAGGAATCGCCGTCCTGTAGGTGATTTGCTGGTTCCGATAAACTGGCGTAAACGTCGACCTTGTCGTAATAAACGCCGATTTGTCGTTGGATTGCGCGAAGAGATGGTGACTTGGAAGTTGGAGGTGAGGAAGTTGGGAGAAGAGACGTGAAGCGTAAACGGTGGCGTTTGGAGGACGAACTTGGGTTTGGGGGCGGAGATGGCCCAGAAGGAGGATGGTGATGAGGGCGATGAGAAGAGATGAGGATGGCGGCAAAGATTCGGCGGAAGAGTTACGGCGTCCGTCCCGTGGTGGCCGCAGTCTCCTTTAGCAGACATGGCGGGTGAGGTGTGAAATGAAAGTAGTGCTGGGGGGAGAGTGAAAGAAATGAAAGTAGTGACGATTGGTGTAGGTTGTGGGAATGGGAGAATGGAGAGACGTGGGTTAATGGAGAAGGAGAGGAGGGACCTTCTTGCTTTGAGGTGACCGTGACTTGGGGTGAACGTGTTGTGTGTTGAGTGTTTATATATAAATTTAAGTTTTTTTATTGGCTTAGTTTAACTCTTAATAGTAGAAGT